TACTTGAGATTTGAGCAGCAACTCACCAGACATATCCCTTGAACAAAAAGTAGTTTCTTTCAATGAGTTTTCCTGTATAACACAAGCAATACTATGGCATGCATTATTAGATACATAGATTCTTCTCATGATCAATTCCAGTGTTTGATAATCACTGAAACAAAGTTGTCATTGCCTTCTATTTCCTCTTAGGGTTTGTCCTACTTGATGCACATCTGCTCATTTCCAGTCTGCAGGCCACTTCACATGGCCTGAAGCGTCTCTACAGTTGAGCTTCACAAAGCATACATCATCTTTTAATCAGTCCAGTTAGCACAGTTTTGGTTGTTCCTTTGGCGAGCAATTTTCTACATTTAATAGAAGAAATCTTTTTGCTATGGATTTGTTGCTGCTAGGTATGATTAGTGCATTTTTCTCAACTATAAAGGCAAAACTAAAGGTTTTCTGTACGTCTTCATTTGCCACATGGTCTAGTCTTGTTATGTGACCAGTAACCCTACTACCAGGGATGACATGATAGCAGTATTCCAATATTTGAGGAGCTGTCACCGAGAGAAGGGGGACGATCTATTTTACAAAGCACCCAAAGGCCAGACAAGGAATAGATGGAAACTGATCAAGGAGAGATTCAACCTAGAAATAAGGAGACATTTTCTGACAGTGAGAACAATCAACCAATGGAACTACTTGCCTTCAGAAGTTGTGAATGCTTCATCACTGGAGGCTTTCAAGAAGAGACTGGACAACCACTTGTCAGACATGGTATAGGGTTTCCTGCTTGAGCAGGGGGTGGGACTAGATGACCTAGAAGGTCTCTTCCAACTCTGTTATTCTGTATTCTGTATTCATGCATCTTCATAACTAGCCAACATTCCACTGCATGCATTGCTTTGGATCAGATGACTTTTCAAAAGATCTTAAATTTCAGATGCAGAGAGTTGTTGTTATTTTGCCACACAGAATGCCAAAAACTTAATGCCACTCCATTCAGGCACTAATATTGACCCATATTTGGGCATCCAGCAGTGGATTAGAAATCATGAATGGGTATTTCAAATGGTCATCTTATTTGACTCAGTACTAACAGTTTAGAGCAGGGGTTCTCAACCTGTGGTTCCCAGACCTCTAGGGGGCTGTGATATCATCACAGAGGGTCTATGAACAAATATTATGATTTAAATCTTGAGTGAAGTCTTGGGGGTCTGTAGCCATGGTCTGTGGCCACAATAGGTATTTAAAGAGGGTACATGGTGAAGAAAAGGGTAAGAACCACTGATTTAGAATGCTGCATCTGGACCCCACATTCAAAGTTGTTGTTGTCGTTGTTAATTGCGAAGTCGTGTCCGACCCATCGCGACTCCATGGACAACGTTCCTCCAGGTCCTTCTGTCCTTTACCATCTTCTGGAGTCCATTTAAGTTCACACCTACTGCTTCAGTGACTCCATCCAGCCATCTCATTCTCTGTTGTCCCCATCTTCTATTGCCCTCAATCTTTCCCAGCATTAGGCCCTTCTCCAGTGAGTCCTTCCTTCTCATTAGGTGGCCAAAGTATTTGAGTTTCAACTTCAGGATCTGGCTTTCTAAAGAGCAGTCGGGGTTGATCTCTTCTAGGACTGACTGGTTTGAATGCCTTGCAGTCCAAGGGACTCGCAGGAGTCTTCTCCAGCACCATAGTTCAAAGGCCTCAATTCTTTTGCGTTCAGCCTTTCTTATGGTCCAACTTTCACAGCCATACATTGCAACTGGGAAAACCATGGCCTGGACTATACGCACTTTTGTTGGCAGGGTTATGTCTCTGCTTTTTAGTATGCTGTCTAGATTTGCCATAGCTTTCCTCCCCAGGAGCAAGCGTCTTTTAATTTCTTGGCTGCAGCCCCCATCTGAGGTGATCTTTGAGCCCAGAAAAATAAAATCTGTCACTACCTCATTTCTTCCCCATCTATTTGCCAGGAATTGAGAGGGCTGGATGCCATGATTTTGGTTTTCTTAATGTTGAGTTTCAAGCCAACTTTTGCACTCTCCTTCTTCACCCGCATCAAGAGGCTCTTTAGTTCCTCTTCACTTTCTGCCATTAGAGTGGTATCATCTGCATATCTTAGGTAGTTGATATTTCTCCCAGCAATCTTAATTCCAACTTTTGTTTCATCTAGCCCTGCCTTTCTCATGATGTGCTCTGCATATAAGTTAAATAGGCAGGGCGACAGTAACAGAATAACAGAGTTGGAAGGGACCTTGAAGGTCTTCTACTCCTACCCACTGTTTATGTAGGAAACCCTATACCATTTGAGACAAATAGTTGTCCAATCTCTTCATAAAAACCTCCAGTGTTGGACCACCCAGAACTTCTGGAGGCATATCATTCCACTGACTGTTTCTCCTTAGTTCTAGGTTGCTTCTCTCCTTGATTAGTTTCCATTAATTGCTTCTTGTCCTGCCTTCTGGTTTGGAGAATAGATTGACCCCCTCTTCTTTGCGACAACCCCTGAAATAGTTGAACACTACTACCATGTCACCCCCTTGTCCTTCTTTTCATTAAACTAGACACACCCAATTCCTGTAACAGTTCTTCATTATGTTTTAGCTTCCAATCCCATAATAATATTGAGCTTCATTCTAATTCATTAAGACACATCTTCCACTCTTATATTAGTTGCTCAAGACCACTTATACTAGTATCCATATATGTTATCATTAATCATTTCTGGTCACAGGGTCCATGCAGAGAATGAAGAACAATGTTGTGAGAGTAGATTTTGCCTATGTAGATAGGCACAGATGTCCACCAGGAATTCACTCTCTCGCCCTTCATTTCCTGAATGGACGCAGAAACTTTCAGTTACAACACCCATTAAGTTGTATTTTTTTATCTTATAAAGTATCAGCTTTCTATGTGTGTATATGAAACAGATATATTAATAAGAGATTTAGCATAGTTAAAGGGTATGACCTTATTAGCAATTAAAACACTATGTCAGCTAGATCTAGAATATCTAGAAGAAATATCCTTTTAGTTGCACTGTAAGCTAATGTAAAAAGAGATATTGATATTTTTTTAATCAAAAATTCACTTTTTTATCGCTGCCTTTTAAGATAAGAGGAAAGGAGATTTTCACAGTGCAATAGAATTCCCTATTCTATTGCATTTTAGAATTTTTAGAATTCCCTCAGAAAGAAAAAGATACCAGAACTACGGCACTAATTTTTAATTGAAAAAATATAGACATGAATTCAACATTATAATTAATTATGGTTTAGCACAAGGCTGGAGAGCTAGTGAGAAGACTGTACATTGTTAAGGCCTCTAAGGGTTGTAGAATAATGCAGGATTATGTCACCGAAGAGAATAGGGTCAACATATTCAAGCTTTTTTTGCAGAGAGAGCTAAACATACCTACTGTACTTTACTTCTTATTTCATTTTTTTTAAAGTTAACAATAAAATCAAACTATCTAAAATAGCTACTTGCTACAAACTTTGGTGGTAGGATGTGTTGGAATGCAACTTTCCATGTGGTGCAAGACATTTGCTGAACATTAGGACAATAGATTTGGAAATATCTGAAAGATTCTGCTCGTGTTTCCTCATCTAAATACAGTACATGAAAGATCCATCCTATATAACATGCCTTCTAGACTGGGCTACCATCATTTATGTTTCTTCTCAGTTAAGTTCTCTTCTTTATTCTATCTCTGACCTACCTACAGGGATCAAGTTCTGGCTGAGTTTCTCTCTCCATAAAGGAAGAGAGCCCCATTACAAACTCTTTACCATAGGTAGTTTTAAGAAGGCAATAGCATGTGTCCATGCAATTATTAGAAGTTAAGTTTTATTCACAAGAGCCTTTACATTAACATTCTAAGGTAGCTTTGGGTTGACATATTCCTATTTTCCTACAAAGTATACAATTTTATTTTTGGTTTTGATTAATTATAATGTATTGTTCTATTTGCATAGTCACACTATGCTTGAAGTTAAGAAATAGAAATTTATACTTCTTTATGATTCTTCTATTGCTCTCAGCAGCTTTCAGTGCCTTGTCCATAGTTATCTTTTTGGAGAGGCTGTCTAAATTAGGTGTGGATGGAAGAACTTTGCAATGTTTCAATTTAGAAAGCTTTCTCCAAAAGATGAGATTTCTGCTTAGCCCTGTGGCATTTATATTGTGGAGTTCCACACAAGATTCTATTTTATTCCAAAATAGTAACAACTTCATAAAATAGCTGAGTGAAACCATCCAGAGATTTAGTGTTATCAGTATACTGATAACATGCCACTCTACCTCTCCTTTTTATCAAATCCAAGGGGAGGAGGAAGAGGAGGAGGAGGAGGAGGAGGAATATTGATTTAATGCTTGTCTGAGAGCCAAAACCTGAAGATCTGCTCAAACAGGAAAGAATTGCTGTCATTATATTATTTATCATCTCTTCTCTTCAGAAAGGATGGCACATATTCTAAAAGATCAAGTTCATAGCTTAGATATTATAAAAAGTCTTCTTTCAGCTTGTTAGAGTATTATGTATCATTCTACCTGAACTCAAAAAAACTTGCTTCTCTAACCTATGGCTTGATTATTTTTAATCAGAATCACTATACAGTTGTCACTAAACCCAAAATACTGTATATATGTGTATCATTGTGTTAGACTTTTTTTTATGCATTTTCAAAAGCGCCCAAAACATCCTTCTCCAGCTTTGAAGGATGATGTGCAATATTTTAAAAAGAAGAAAAAAGTAAACTACCAGCTCTGCTAGCACTTATTATTGTATTTATTGTATCTTTAGAAAGTAAACATAGCTATTAATAATGATAATTTCAGCATATAAAATTTTATCCATTGTGTTTTCTGAAAGCCATAGTTTCCAAAAACAAATTTTGACTAGATCATATCTGCAATACTTAATAAGTTTCAAGTCATTAGAAATAGAATATCATCTAGCCCGTTTTAACCTTCTTCTTTAGATAAAATACATCAAGTGACTTCCAAAAGTTGCTTCTTACCCAATAGGTCTAAAGTCAGGCAAGGGTCTGTCCAGCGGCAAGCGATCACTCAGGTAAGCATTGTAACCATAATACTGGAACTGTTTAAGGGCAATTCGTTGGTTCTCAGGGCTCAGATCTTGGCCCCAGTGAGCAAAGAGGGATGAATCAATGAATGCATCTGCAGGATTTTCTTCTGGCTTCAGCGGTGCTTCTGTAAAAAACAAATGCACTGAAGGAGTCAATTTTAGTCAAAATTTGGTGCAACTTTTATGGTTTACTAGGGATGTGTTGTACTTTATTATGAGCCGTGATGGTACAGTGGTTAGAACACAGTATTGCAGACTAACTTTGCCCCATTAGGAATTTGATCCTGACTGGCTCTAAGTTGACTTAGCCTTCCATGGTAGGTAAAATATGTAAACCATTCAGAGAGTGCTGTAAATCACTATGAAGCAGTATATAAGCCTAAGTCAGTGGTTCTCAACCTTTTTAATGCCGCGACCCCCAACCGGTCGTAAGTCGAGGACTACTCAATCGGTCGTAAGTCGAGGACTACTCAACTGGTGCAGCACCGTTTGCAGAATGGGACTTTGGGCGGTCTCAGCAGGGCAGAGACAGCCTGGACAATTCCCATTGGCTTTTGAAAGCCAATAGAATTAGACTCTATTCAAGAGAGTCTATTCTATTGGCTTTCAAAAGCCAATAGAATAAAAGGGAGTAGCACAACTAAGGAAAAGGGGAAAAAAATTGGCGGACTGCATTGTTTGGCGACCCCCGTGAAATGGTCGTTCAACCCCAAATGGGGTCCCGACTCACAGGTTGAGAACCACTGGCCTAAGTGCTATTATTATCTATCTATCTATCTATCTATCTATCTATCTATCTATCTATCTATCTATCTATCTTTCTTTCTTTCTTTCTTTCTTTCATCTATCTATCTATCTATCTATCTATCTATCTATCTATCTATCTTTCTATCCATCCATCTATCTATTAGCATCTTGCTGCAAGACAACTGTTGGATCTAGAATATTCCCACCATACCTCTCTGCACCTTCTTAGAAAAGCTGCATTTTTTCTGGTCTTACATTTCAGCCGAACAATACCAAGAAATATTCATGTCTGAAGTTAAGAAGGTTCCAAATTGGAGCAAGCAAGGAGGTATTTTATTTCACACTCATTATTGTGTGAGCCAGGAAAATATGTAGCTTCTTTAAGGAGACTCTGACTGGTGAAATGTAATTGTAACTTGTCAGCGATTCCTTAACATAAAGGTATACTTTCAGGGAATCAAGCAACTGCCAGGGAGAGATCCAATTTCTTTAAAAGGTGCTAAACATGTGTAGCAAGCATGTCAAGCACTTTTTCTCCTTTGGATCTGAACAGCGCATATAATGGCTATCAAGCTTTATGAGATAGCCAACATCAGTTACAAATTGCCACTTGAGCTAGGCAAACTACACCAAATTTAACTACAGGTTTACTGCTGTTTTACTACTGAGCTGTGGTGGTGCAGTGGTTAGAATGCAGTACTGCAGGCTATTTCTGCTGACTAACGACTGCCAGCAGTTCGGCAGTTTGATTCCCACTGGCTCAAGGTTGACTCAGCCTTCTGTCCTTCTGAGGTAAAATGAGGGACCCAGATTGTTGGGAGCAATATGCTGACTTTTAATCCACTTAGAGAGGGCTGTAAAGCACTGTGAAGTGGTATATAAGTCTAAGTCCTATTGCTACTGCTATTATTAATGCATTAATCTGAACATTCTGGCTCATTTGTGTCAGATTTTATCAAGTTAATTATTGCAGTGTTTTTTTCACCATACTGCCTTTTCCATTCTGCATTTCTTAAAATCCCTGCATTGACTTTGGTACTGCATTTTAGTTCTTTATATTTCCCTGTATCACTGTAATTTTACAGTACCAATATTGTACATGTTATATAATCAATCCATCAATACATTATGGATCAATAGTCATTATATAAATCGGGCTGTGATTTATAATGCAGTAGCAATCTTTATTTTAAGATTACCTAAAGATAATCTAAAGATAATCAGTCAGATACCTTTTAATTTAACCAAGGAATATAGCTAATTAGTATTCATTATGGGATAACATTTTAAATTTCCAGAAATCCCATAGATTCTCTTAAGAAACATTTAACCAAATGCAATAATATAGGCACTTTTGTTTTAGAAAGATACATTGATGCCCATTTTTAAAATGGAGGTTATTTTGATAAAAGGTGTTTAAAAGCAATCAAAATAACCAGAAAAATAACCAGACAAGAAAAGATAAAAGCTTCACTGCTAGATGGCATGACCAATCAATTTAGAATAGAGAAATATCCAGTGTTTTATATTCACAAGATCAATTATTAGATGTGATTATATTATTTGAGAAGCAGAAGAAGGTACAATTTGCATTCCCTTTGAAGTCTTCTCTAATAACGAAAATACAAAAAGGTTTTACTTTCACACTACATTTCCCAATCCTGAACAAAGATCCAAGATACCTAATTTTATAAAATATCACTATTATTTCAAATACTAAATTATATAAGCAGGTATTATGCACCTTCTAAAGTCATCCCCCCGTGCATTTCAATGTAAGAAAAGAGGAGGAAAAAAAATGTATGCTTCAATCCCCTGTGGATGAGCTATCAGAAAGGGTTGATATATATTTTTTAAAGGGGGGGGGGAGAATAGAGGAGGTTGAAATACAAAATCTGTGTCAGGTCATGGATAATCACGGAGATGTTATTCAGACGCAAGGCTTTATTATGACTTCACATATCACAAGTTGAGTCATTCCCCATAATTTATTTCAAGACCTGTAAGGTCTTTTGACATATCGGATCAACATACTGCAAGCGTATACGTGTACGTTGCTGGTGATGCAATCAAATTCATGTTAATTAGCATAAAAACCCTTCAGTATAAATCTAAATCTGACTATACTTTGCTAAGCTGATTTTTATAAAGTTATTCAAGGTGACATCACATAATGATTTTTAGTATGTGCAGCAACCAATCCACCTACTCCAGGAAGTCTGATCCTCTTGATTATTATTGTTTGGCATATTGCCTGAAGAGCTGTTGGGGCCTAAAAAACACTCAAGCAATGACAAGAGAAGAGACCCAAAGTAAAATGGAGAGAGAGCTTGTTTACCATCTGGATAGGCCATTTTAACATTCACACTGAGAAAACATTTAATTATATCCATGGAAGACAGAAATGAGAACTTCAATATTTTATTTCTGCCAGGATTACATACAAGTAGATTCATCAAGCTAGCAATGAAATAAATACATTTCCATTTTTTACTGAACTTCTTATTTTAAAATGTAAATAAAAGCAAATACCCTTTATTTTATATCGATAATTATCAGTTTATTGCAAAAAAAATCAAGTCATGTGTACAAACACACACAAGCATACATACACACTCAATTCCTAAGATTTTCTTCCAGCCATTCTGAATCAGCAGATAGAGTCAGATATTCTTTTCTCAGCTTTGAGGTTAAAAAACTTGCTTAACTTTTATGCAATGGTTCTGTCTGATCTGAAGCCCATTAGTTCTTGCCACATAGCTTCAGCCCTTGCAAATCTATGAATAACATCCATGTAGTTTTCTGACAATATAGAAATGAGAAGTACCCACTGCATTCTTCAAGGAAATATTTGGGTCTAATTTCATTGCGGCCTCCAGTTCATTATTCTGTTTCACCTTTCTGAGATCAGCCATTGGCTAGGTGCTACTACCTGCTGTAAGTTGATGAAGAAATTAGAAATATAGAAAAAAATGAAACATTAATTAAAGGGTGGAGTTCTTTAGTGTGAGGTACCTTTGAATAATTTTTGACTCCTGACAACTACATAGACAAATCTCCAATAGATACCAACTCAATGACACAGCATTACCCCAACTTCATAAATTCAAACTAGAAACTAAATTAATGTAAGAATATATAAAATAAATGCAATCCATCCAGAACTAAATAAAGTATTACCCCAGTATCTGATCGCTTATGAACAGGCAGCATTGTGAGGTAGACAAGAAAAGACGCATACCCAGATAAATTAATCCTACTTTATTATAAAACTGCATTAACAGAATCCTGCAAGACTGAAAGTATTCCTCCCCTGACCTCTCTCTTTATTTTCTGGAAAACTAGAGGGGGTTCAGAAAACCTTCTGAAACACTTTTCATGCTTTCCCTCACCTCCAGCCTCCTATCAGACTGTTACCTAAAATGGAAGTCTTCTTCTTGCCTCCCAAGGTCATTCACATATACCACTACATGAACCCAGAGCTACTCCATCTTACTGGGATTAAGACTCAGCCTGATCCTCTTCCTTCAGACCCAAACATCCTCCAAGACTAGACAGCATTTCAACATCATCATTTCATTGACCCAGGTTGAAATGTAAAGCACTGGCAACACGTGATCTCATGTTGGTAAATAATGATCATGGGGGTGGGAAAATAGGGCTCTTAAATAGCAGAACAACTGTGTTTTCTTCTCCAACCCACTCCCAGCACTAATTTTTGATAATCTTGCTGCTTGTTGGTTTAATCCAGAAGTACATGCCATAGACGCCTGCTAAATCTTTTAGTATGTTAACAGGGTTTATTGCTTCTCCTTATATAAAGGGATTGCTATGCAACATGAAAACACCACAGCAAGGTCATTGTGCAGGGCAAGAGGTCATTGAGACAATAAAATATTGCAGCCCTGAAGTGTAACCCATTGTTAAGATGGTTGTCCAGTGGTGGGTTGGGACTGATGTAGAGCTTTTTCGAAGAATAATCCTTAGTACAATCCAGCTTCTGTTGTGGTGATAGAAAAGCTGTCAGCATAATTATGAGTCTGACAGGCTCCCTCTGCTCTGTTTTTCTAACTGACAAGTGTTGGAAAAGAACAGGATAGAGTTGCCTCAAAATAAGCCTGAGGATAAGTTGAGGCCAGTGCTGTGGAGACAGGGTATAAAACTAGAGCTGTCAGTCTAATATAATAAATAACAAATGATAAAAGATGCACATAGTTCCATTCAGAAATTTCTCAGATTTTTCAGACTGTGCAGAAACTAATTTATTTAAATAGTTCTTCAGACTTCCCAGGTCATGAATAGCATTTTTGTACCTAGACATCAGACACACCAAGATTCAAATTAGAGCAGTGACTCTAATCACAGCAAGCACTTAATT